GTTCATTCTTGTTTGTATTTGCTTTGGTGATGGTGATGAGATTATGTGTGGGTTTCTGTCCCTTTTTCCTTTTGGCTGTTGGTAAATTGGGATTATCTATTTCTAGTTGTAGTTAACTTCCCTGGGTTGGAGTTTTCCTTCCAATACTTTCTGTAGGGCTGTATTGGTGGATATGTATGGTTTGAATCTGCTTTTGTCATGGAATATCTTGTTTTCTCCATCTATTGAAAGCTTTGCTGGGTATAGTAGTCTGGACTGGCATCCATGGTCTCTTAGTGTAGGTAGAATATCGATCCAGGATCTTCTGGCTTTCAGAGTTTCCAAGGAAAAGTCAGGTGTGATTCTGATAAGTTTGCCTTTATGTGTTACTTGACCTTTTTCCTTTGCTGCTCTTAATATTTTCTCTTTGTTGTGTATGCTTGGTGTTTTGAATTATTATGTGGTGAGGTGACTTTTTTTGGTTCAGTCTATTTGGTGTTCTGTAGGCTTCTTGTATTTTCATTGGTATGTCTTTCTGTAGTTGGGAAAGTTTTCTTCTATGATTTTTGTTGAATATGTTTTGTGGGCCTTTGAGTTGGATTTCTTCTCCTTCTTCTATACCTATTATTCTTAGTTTTGGTCTTTTCACAGTATCCCATAGTTCCTGGATATTTTCTGATAGGGATTTGTTGGACTTAAGACTTTCTTTGGTTGATGAGTTTATTTCCGCTAGTGTGTCTTCAACCCCTGAGATTCTCTCTTCCATCTCTTGTATTCTGTTGGTTATGCTTACATCTGTAGTTCCTGATCGTTTACCCAGCTTTTCTATTTCCAGCATTCCCTCAGATTGTGCTTTCTTCATTGTCTCTATTTCAGTTTTTAGTTCTTGAACTCTTTCCTTAAGAGATTGATATTGATTGACTTGAAGATTGATACCTTGTATCTTTTTGGTTAGTTTTTTTCTTCCATTTCTTTAAGGGATTTTTTCATGTCCTCTTTGAGATCCTCTATCATTTTCCTGAAGATGTTTTTAAGGTCATTCTCTTCTGGTTCATCTGCATCGTGATGTTGAGGTCTTACTGGTGTATGGTTCCTAGTCTCCGGTGGTGTCCTTTTGGGTTTTCTGTTGTTGGATGTACTTTTACCTTGTCCTCTTCTCATCCTTTCTTCTGGTGGCTGTAGCAAGTGTTTCTTCTTCTCCTGGTGGGTGTGGGACCAATGTTCCCTTCTGGTAGATGCAAACAGATCCAATACTCTGATGTCGGTCCTCTTCTCGTGAATGGAGGTGTCACTCTTCCCTAGGTGTTGGCAGTGTTCGGGCGTGCAGGGTCCTGGGCCAGTGGATGGAGGCGGGCTGCCTATGGGTGTTCAGTGTTCGGAACTGCCGCCGAACTGGTCTGGCATGCAGGTAGCTTGCCTCTGGTGATTCTGAGCAGGGACAATATACTGGAACCAGTAACAGTTCCTGGCCTACCTGGACTGGCAGATGGAGACCGGGCTGCTTCTGGGTGTTCGGAGTTCAGAATCTTGCGCCGAACTGGTCCGGCTCGCAGGTTGCTTGCATCAGGTGACTCTGAGCAGCAACGACAAACTGGCTTCTTCCATTTCTTTATTTTCTCATATCCTCTTTGAGGCCCTCTATCATTTTCATGATGATGTTTTAAGGTCATTCTCTTCTGCTTCATCTGCATTGTGATATTCAGGTCTTGCTGGTATATGGTTCCCAGTCTCTGGTGGTGTCATATTGGTTTTCTGTTGTTGAATGTGCTTTTATACTGTCTTCTTTCCATCCTATCTTCTGGTGGATGTAGCAGGAGTCTCTTCCTCTCCTTGTGGGTATGAGACCAATGTTTCCTTCTGGTAGATGCAAACAGTTCAAGTTCTCTGATGTCTGTCCTCTTATTGTGGATGGAGGTGGGACTGTTACCAGACCTTGGCTGTCTCTGGGTGTGCTGGAACCCACTAGCCGAGTTCGGATCCCATGAGCAGACTCCAGGCATCAGGTGTCCCCTAGCAGAGCAGGGGAACCCGAACTGAAAGCAGTCCCTGGCCTAACTGGACTGGTGGATGGAGGTGGGACTGTTACCAGGGCATTGGCAGTCTCTGAGTGTGCTGGATCCCGCCTGCTGAGTTCCTCTTGTATCCATTTATGAGTGAATACATACTGTGTTTTTCTTTCTGCATCTGGGTTAACACACTCAGAATGAATTTTTTCTATTTCCATTAATTTACCTGCAAATTTCACGAGGTGATTGTTTTTTACAGCTGACTATTACTCCGTGGTGAAAATGTAACACTTTTTCTTTATTCATTCTTTGGTTGAGGGGCATTTAGGCTATTTCCAGGTTCTGGTAATTAAGAATAATGCTGCTATGAACATAGTTGTGCAAGTGTCCTTGTGGTACGATTGAGCACCCTTTGGGTATAAGCCTAAGAGTGGTAATGGTGGGTCTTGAGGTAGATTGATTCCCAATTTTCAGATAAACCATCATACTGATTTTGAAAATGGTTGTGTAAGCTTGCATTCCCACCAGCAATGGAGGAGTGTTCCCCTTACTCTACATCCTATCCAACATAGGCTGCCATTGGTGTTTTTTATCTTAGCCATTCTGACAGGTATAAGATGGCATCTCAGAGTTGTTTTGATTTGTATTTCCCTGGTGACTAAGGATGTCAAGCAATTCTTTAAATGTCTTTTGGCCATTTGAGATTCTTCTGTTGAGAATTCTCTGTTTATATCTGTACATACTATATAACTGGATTATTTTATATTTGACATCTAGTTTCTTGAATTTTTATATATTTTGGAGATCAGCCCTCTGTCAGATATGGGGTTGGTAAAGATCTTTCCCATTCTGTAAGTTGTCATTTTGTTTATTGTGTCCTTTGCCTTACAGAAGCTTTTCAGTTTTAGGAGGTCACATTTATTACTTGTTGCTCTCAGTGTCTGTGCTGCTGGTGTTATGTTTAGGAAATGTGTTCAAGGCTACCTCCCACTTTCTCTTCTACCAGGTTCAGTGCACTTGGATTTATGTTGAGGTCTTTGATCCACTTGGACTTGAATTTTGTGCATGGTGATAGATATTAATCTATTTTCTATCTTCTACACATTGATATCCAGTTTTGCCAGCACCATTTGTTGAAGATGTTTTCTTTTTTTATTGTACACTTTTGGCTTCTTTGTCAAAAATCAGGTATTCATAGGTATGTGGATTGACATCAGGGTCTTTAATCGATTCTAATGGTCCATGTGTCTGCTTTCATGTCAATGCCAAGCTGTGTTTATTACTATGGCTCTGTAGTAGAGCTTGAAGTGAGCATGGTGATGTCTCCAAAAATTCCTTTATTGTACAAGATTGTTTTAGCTATCCTGGGCCTTTTGTTTTTCCATATGAAATTAAGTATTGTTCTTACAAGGTCTGTGAAGAATTGTGTTGGGATTTTGATGGGGTTTGCATTAAATCTGTCGATTGCTTTTTGCAAGATTGCCATTTTTTATTGTGTTGATCCTACCTATTCAAGAGCATGGGAGATTTTTTCCATTTTCTGATATATTCTTCAATTTCTTTCTTCAAACCTTAAGTTCTTGTCATACAGGTCTTTCATTTGTTTGGTTAGAGTTACCCCAAGATATTTTAATATTATTTATGGCTATTGTAAACTGTTGTGTTCCTCTGATTTCTTTCTCAGCCCCTTTACCATTTGTATATAGGAGGGTTCCTACTTTTTTGAGTTAATTTTGTATCCTGCCACATTACTGAAGGTATTTATCAGTTGTACAAGTTCCCTGGTAGAATTCTTGTGGTGACTTATGTATACTATCATAACATCTGCAAATAGTGAAAGTTTGACTTCTTTCCTGTGTATTGCCTTGATCCCCCTTTGTTTTCTTATTGCTCTTGCTATAACTTTGAATACTATATTAAGTAGGTATGAAGAGAGTAGATAGCCTTGTCTTGTTACTGATTTTATTGGAATCACTTTGAGCTTCCCTCCATTTATTTTGTTGTTGGCTGTCAGTTTGCTGTGAATTCCCTTTATTACTTTTGGGTATGTTCTGTGCATCCCTAATCTTTCTAAGACCTTTATCATGAATGGTGTTGATTTGTGTCGAAGTCTTTTTCAGCATCTTTGACATGATCATGTGATTTTTTTCTTTCAGTTTGTTTATATGGTGGATTACATTGACAAATTTTCATAAGTTTAAGCATCCCTTTTTTAACTAATGCATAAGTGTTGATTCTCCTAGCATGTCTCAAGTGAGTATGTTAAGACCAGAATGTAACTCAAAAGATAAATGAGAAGAGATAGAGAAGTGAGTTCCAGGGCATAGCTCCCCAGAGTGAGACAAGGAACCTTGGTACAGAGCCTGATGAAAACCACAGACTTGAGAAAGGGGTATCAGCAGCCTGCAAGCCTGGGAACAAAGGAAGCAGTGTTCAAATTGTGGAAAGTCTTGCAGGGGGTGATGCTCTTATTGGAGGGTCTGTACTGTTCCATGGCAGAGACAGAGGGTTAGAACTGATGACTATTTCTAGAAATTCAGTTACAGATAATGCTTTTCTATATGACAGGGAGGCTGCACCAATAAAATCTCAACAATATTTCTGCCTCAGCAAGGTCTGCAAAATGACAGCACTGGTTAACATGCTAATGTGGATGGGAGAGATCTGGTAAATGAAGAGTTATAGGCAATTAATAGTTGGTAGAAGAGGAATGAAATCAGTCTTCCTGAGAAGAGTTTCCTATTAGGTTACCCAGTCCCAAGTGGTCAACATGAGACATATATATATATTTAGCTATAATATTTAGGAACAGGCCATGAATTTAAGATAGAGTTTGTTGGCAGAATATGGGAGTTGTTAGAGTGGGTAGATTTATAGCTTAAAATGATATAAATATATTACTTGTCCTTTAATTCTAAAATTAAATTAAATTAAAAATCAAGGAAATGATGACCTCCTCCCACAGATTCCTCTCATCTGTAATCATGATGCTCTGGTTCGGAACCCTTCACATACCCAACTGTAGTCTCTGCTGCTTGAATGAGGTCAGGTAATCACCCATTTCTTCTCCATCCAGCTTCTTAGTGGGGTCCATCACACGTGGATTCCTATACACAAAGATGCTCTTTTTCTCAGATGTCAGGGAAATTAGGGCTGAGTACATGACATCCCCACATAAAATCCAGCTCATCTGAATTTGAACTCAGTCCCATGCTGCTTCCCTGGGACAGAACTCTATGAAGTCCCCCATCCTTCTGGGCATCATTGCTGCCTGAACAAGTTCATCTCAACCCCTCCTTTGCTTTAACTTGAATGTGTTCCCCAATGTTTATTCATTAGAAAGTTAATTTCCAATGTCACAGTGCTGATAGGATAAGACACGATGAAGTCATGAGTGCTCTGCCTTCATGAAGGTGTAAATGTCATCACCAGAGGAGTAGATTCCTGTGACCTGACAGGACTTGTCACTAAAGCCAGCTTGGTCTTTCACTCTCACCCTTCCCAGCTTCACAATCAGATGGAACAGGAAGAAGGGCTTCTCTAGATGCAGGGCCCATGCCTTTGTCCCTCCTTATAATTAGAATTGCAAGAAATAATCTCAATTCTTTTAGTGTCCAGTGTTAAGCGTTGAGTCAGAGCTGTGCAAAATTACTTAATAAGTGCTCACTTTGAATATTAATCATCTAGACAGGACCGCCTAAATCTCTCTTCTTTCTGTTCTGTACTCTCCCCCTCTGCAGACTCTACCTATGTCCCAGGATGGAGCAGGCTTTACTTTGAACCACTGCTGTATCCTCTCTCAGCTATCCCTGATCCTGATTTGGTCTCTTCTGCATAGTAGATGCAGTAGATCCATTTTCTGCATAGTAGATGACCATAAAAAGTGGGTAGAAATACCAAATGATGGGCCATGAATGCCTTGTTCATTGATGTTCCCTCAGATGCCAAAATAGTGTATGATGCACAGTGGGTCCTGTACAAATGTTCAGTCAATGGATGGATGACCATCCTATGTCTATAGAACCCTTAGTTTCACATGTGGGCATGACAGCTAGGAAGTGGAGGCAGAAGGAATTCATTGTCATGAACTGGTATTGAATAACTTAAGATAACACAGGGCTTCAGCACAGCCTCTAGAGTTGGAAAATAACTCTCCTGTCCTGAGGCTTTGTGTGTGTGTGTGTGTGTGTGTGTGTGTGTGTGTGTGTGTCTGTGTGTGGCATGCACATAATCCTGTGTATATGGATGTGTCTGAACACTACAGTTGGGACAGTGATACCCATAGTGATTTATGTTCTCTAAGAGAATTTTATGTGTGTATCTTTCTTAACTGTGGTTTCTGCTTTCATTGTTCCCATGGTTTGGGTTTCTTGGTGGCTACCATTGTCACACTTTGTGTGCCCAGAGTACTTCTAATTCATCTTTTCTATTTTTTTCAGATGGAAGAACTTATGTAGGTATGATATATGACTTTATTTTTTTCTAAATGAAAAATCCCACATTACACAGAGCCTTTCCTCATTTTGGTTGCTGTTGTTTCTGGCTCTGTGTGTCTTTCCCATCACCCCAGGAATCTTTTCCCACCCCTCATCTGTGGACCAGACATATAGGGCCTAAATTTCTCAGTAGGAATTCTGTGTCCACAACTTACCATATGCTGGAGATGAGCAGCTGTGGATTCTCTGCCTCCAGGGCCCTGAGCTCCATCATCACCTGGTCACTGAGAGGGGCCTGGTCTAGCCTGCAACACAAGATGGGGCTGCTTATTCTGGGATCCACCACAGGACCATGAGGCCTCGGGGTCCAGGATTCTGGACTCTGTTGTCTGTAGATGGAGCCAGTAAGAAGCCTTATTAAGGCTTATTCTTATCCTGGCCAAAACCAGGATAAAGGATGGAGAGCAGCAGGCCGACCAGAGGGAGACGTGTCAGTGGCATAGTCTCATTGTCAGTGTGCAGGGAGATCTGTAGTTAGGATAAGGAACTTTGGAAGTTTTCAGACCTGTAATGAGGGCTGGCCCTTTATACCCCTCCCCACAGGTCAGTCCCAAGGAAGGAAAATCGATCACAGATGAGGGTATTCTTGTTGGCACAGGGCAGCACAGTAGCCATCAGCATTTCCAGTGGCTGGAGTTCATGGCCATAATCCTAAAGGGATTCTGGACAGAGGGCCACATCAAGCTCCTGTAGGGAATCTCTTGGACCTCCAAGGCCCCAGCCCTTGTCTGTTCCGGAGCTTTTCCCGCTCTGCCTATTCCTGGGCTGCTGTCTTCAGATTGGCCCAACAAAGTCCTATTTATCTATCAGACCTTGGAGAAGCCCCCTGGGCTATTCAATAAAGCAGGCCCTCTCACAGCATTGCATTCTCACCATACTGTCGACTCCTCAGCCTTCAGTAGAGATTGTCAATACTGAATCAGGCTCACAGGTGTCCTATGTCTGTCTTTTCATACACAACTTCAGGAGGACAGAACCATGTGTGTTGTGATTATATCCCTAGCGCCTGGACCAGGGCTTGGCACACAGGGGCCTTATGTGAATGCATGCATGGATTCATGAATAAAAATTATTGGAGCATTGAGTCTATTAGAATAATAGCCTTAATAATACACAGTGCCCAACCACCTACCTGGTATTATCTTTGTTTTTACATATGTTGTTTTATGTCAATAATCTACCAGGTAACTGTGACATTCCATTTGACAAATGAGGAAACCAAGTTTTAAAGAATACAGGGGCTTTCCCAAGTCCAGGGTGTAAATGGCACAGCTGGTCAGTAGCCAGACTGACTATGCACTATCTGCCCCCCCTTTCTATGTCTTGTCATCTAGTAACACACCTGTGTCCCTTCCCTTGCTTCGTCCCCAGAGGGGATTCCTGGGCCTTACTTACAGCAGGATTCTGAGTTTGCAGGCAGGATTCCTGAACCCCTCACACAGCAGCCTCACTCCATGGTCCCCCAGGTCATTCAGCTGCAGGTCGAGCTCAGTCAGGCTGGAGCTGGCCTTGAGCACTGAGGTCAGGTCCTCACAGTGTCTGGATGTGAGGCCACAGTTGAGAAGCCTGCATGGAAGATGCTCACCATCAGCTTCTCCAGAGCTCACTGCTCTTGGGAACTGAGCTCAGGTCTCCCTTTGTGAGCCCTGGTATGCTGCATTAGCAGTGCTCAGCTCTCTGGAGTGCCTTTTCTAGTCTGGGTGGATAATTCCATGCTTCCCACAGATGAGCAGTAGGAGCAGTGGAATACAGCTTGGGGACCACTGTTCTGTGGCCACTAGCCATGGCAGAGCTCCATGAGGCTCAGGACAGATCACTGGTCTCTTTCAAGAGCCATCCCAAGTGACTTTCACTAGTCATAGAATAGGGAATGATTTCACTCATCATGTGTAAGATTAGTAAAGACGGAGTCCATAGAAACAGAGTAGAAGGTATTTACAAGGGTAGAGAGCAGGGGGAAACGGGGAGATGCCATTCTCTGGAACTGGAGCTTTCTCCCCTCCTGCTTCATTTAGCCTCTTCCTCTGTGTTCTTCAGTTCTCCTGTAGCCACTTCCTCAAGAAGTCTGCTGTACTAGAGACCTCATGGGACTGTGGTTACCAATAGCTAGTGGGGCTCCTTGACGAATGTCAGCTCTCATGAGCCCCAATAGCAGAATCCATTTGTTTATCAAGTCTGTCATGATTATGGTCAAAAGGGTTTGGTGAATATGTGATGAACAATAAGCCTTACCCCCGACCTGACTTTTTGCCTTTCTTCTCTTGCCATCCATGTCTGCTTCCAAGGACAACCCAGGCCAGACTCACCACAATGTCTTTATGTGGCATCCAGGGCATCTCAGGGTCCTACAAAGACTCTGCAGTGCAGAGTTGCTCAGTGGGTTTCCACTTAGGTCCAGCTCCTTCAGGCTTCCTGTGAATTCAATCATGGAGAAGAGAACCTGCCAACTGGCATTAGTCATCGGGGTCCATCTGGACCTGAGGAGAGAGAGAGGGAGAGATGGTATGAGGGATGTGACTCACGTGTGAATGGTCTGAGTTGCACAGCCCCACACAGTAGACTAGGATTCTTATTCTTGTCTGCCTGAGCATCAGGCTTCCATATGCCATCCCCAGGATTCACCAGCTTTTTAAATTTTTTTATTTTATTTTATTTTATTAGTTCAAATTAGGAACAAGCTTGCTTCAGATGTTAATCTCTTTTCCCTCTCCCTCCCCTCCCCCCAACATCCCACCTGCCTCTAGCCATCCCCCTTCCACTCCCCATGCAGGGTAAGGCCCTCAAAAGGGGCTCTGCAAAGTCTACCACATCATCCAGGGCAAGGCCTAGGCCCTACCTCATGTGTCCAGGTCAAGAGAGCATCCCTTCACAAGGGATGGGCTCTCAAAATCCCTTCTTTTTTTAAGACCTTACATATTTAATACAGGATTCACCTGCTTTTGCATGTGCTTTTTGCTCCAACATCTGGATCCTCTCCTTTGGGTAGTTCCTAATCTACATACATCTAGCATGCTATGTGTTCATTTTGTGAGTCTGTTTCTGACTCAGTCTAGGTGTCCCACATCTTTTCTTTTTAATCTACAGTACCCAACAATAGTCTGATATAATAAAAGAACCCTGATAATTTAGACAGCCTCTTCATTTTTATATGAATATATCTGATTCCCTTTGGAACAGAATTCTGCATCTAATAAAGGGAAACTGAAAAGGAGTGATGGGAAGAGAGCTCAGGAGAGTTGGTTGAGAGTGACTCTGTGGTGGGTGTTGAGCATTGCCATAAATACTACTAATGTGTTGGTTCATGATAGATAGACAGAAAAATAGGTAGATAGATAGATAGAGGGAGAGACAGATGTACATACTGATAGATCATGATAGGCAGAGATAAATTGACAGAGTAAGACAGACACATACACAGAAAGGAAGGGAGAGAGAGAGACAGAGGGAGAAAGGGCGAGAAAGAAACCGAGAGAGAGAGAGAGAGAGAGAGAGAGAGAGAGAGAGAGAGAGAGAGAGAGAGAAAGAGAGAGAGAGAGAGAGAGAGAGAGAATATATCACCCTGTGTGGTAAAGCATTCCTTTAATGGCAGAAACCAAGCATATAAAAGCAGGAGAACAGTGAATTTTAAATCGGCCTAAGCTGAAAAGTACAAGGTAAGGTGTTGGGAGTAGCTTTGAGTCTGGTATGTGCAGTGTTTGAACCCTATCACTGTAAAAACAAAACAAAACAGTGTAACAAACTCAAAATACAACCACAATTTTCAAAACTGAGATTAGAGATGACCAACTTTGACTGAAACAGAAAGTATACGACATTTTCATTTAATGTTACAAAACTAAAGAATGCCAAGAAAAACAAATACTAAACTTTGAAGGATGGTAGGTTTTTTTTTTTTTTTCCCAGAGACAGGGTTTCTCTGTATTGTTTTGGAGGCTGTCCTGGAACTCGCTCTGTAGACCAACTGGCCTTGAACTCACAGATATACACCTGCCTCTGCCTCCCTCTGGAGTGCTGGGAGTAACGGCGTGCGCCACCACACCCAGCGAAAGATAGTGTGTTTAAAACACTTTATTTAATTTTTACTTCATGTGTATGTGGTAGTTTGAATGTAATTGGCACACATAATCTCAGAGGGAGTGGTACTATTAGGAGGCATGGCTTTGTTGGAGTGGTTTCAGCATTGTTAAATGAAGTGTGTCACTTTTGCTCGGGATGTCTGTCGACTTCTGGTGGCCTACTCATTAAGATGTAACCAGCACCATATCTGCCTGCACAATGCTGTGCTCTCCACCATGATGGTAATGTACTGAACCTCTGAATGTATTAAAGCAAGCCATATCAACTAAATGTTTTCCTTAAAGTGTTTCTGTGGTCCAGGTGTCTCTTCACAGCAATAAAAGTGCTAACTAAAACAGTGTATTTTGTATGCCTGCTTGTCTGTTTGTGCACTCTATGCATGAAGAAACCTGAAGACACTTGAAGCAGGGCATCAGATAAAGGTGTTGTGATCCAGCTGAATCAGATTCTAGGAAAGGATGCACATACTCTGAAAGAGGATCAGGATTTCTACTTTCTCTCAGTCCTCAAGGAATGATGGATTTGATGCATGGCTAGTTTTAACACTGACTGAAAGTGGAACTTAAGAATGTACTATTCAAAGAACATGAGGAACCATTATGAACCGCCCATGTTGCTCACTATGGTAGTTTGAAAGAAAATGGCCCCCAAAGGGAATGGCAATATTATTAGCTGTAGTCTTGTTGAGTAGATATGGTCTTGTTGAGTAGAAGTGTGTCACTGTGGAGGCAGGCTTTGAGGTCTCATAGGTGCTCAAGCCATGCCCAGTGAGACAGTCAACTTCTAGTTGCCTGCATATCAACATGTAGCAGCTACCTCTCCAGTACCATGTCTTCCTACACACTGCCATGTCCTACCATTATGATAATGGACTGAGCCTCTTTACTGTAAATGAGGCTCAATTAAATGTTTGCTTTGAAAGAGTTGCTATGGTCATGGTGTCTCTTTACAGCAATAGAAATCCCAACTAAGACACTCACCTGACATTTTCAATTTTTGACTTTGGGGAGCTTCCACGCCTGTTTGCTTACTGTCAAATGGCCTCCTTGCTGAGCTCCCTGCCTTCACTTTCTCACTAGCAGTCAAAGCCTCATGCTCTCCTATGGGTTTGCCCTGAAGCTCCTAAGATGACTGTCCATTGCAAGCATGCTGTTGTTCCTTGTTTCTCTTTCCCTAACCTGTCTCTGTCTCTATTCATACTCAAAGTTCTTCTGAAGTTCCGGATCAGACCACTCTTCTTACAAGACCTTTCAAAGCTCACTTTTTATAACCATAGACACTTAGAAAAAATTTATACTGGCCAAGAAAGGAAAATGATTCAATTTAATAAGGTACTCTCCTGAGGCAATATCAGAAGGCTATTCAGAATGATATTGTACTAGATCTTTAGTTAACCTGAGGAGACAGCCTTGAATCATTAAGAAAATGAATGTGAATAGAAGATGATAGAGATTGTGCGGCTCAGTGCTCCCATTTAAAGTACATAGAGAAAAGATTAAAGGTCATATTGCATTTTTTCTTTCATGCTGTGGGTATAACCTAGGGTCTTGGGCTTATTAGGTGTGGTGTTTTGAATGAGATGTCACCTAGTCATGGGCATTTGAATGCTTGGTCCTCAATTGGTGGCACTTAGGGGGAAGGCTTAGGAGGTTTGCTTTTGGGGGAGGAAATAAGTCGCTGAGGACAGGATTTAAGATTTCAAGGCCTGGAGCCATTTCCAGTGCACTCTTTCTGCTTCCTGCCTGTGGTTCTAGAATGAACTCTCAGCTGCTGCTCCAGTCACATCCTTTCCCTCTGCCATGATGGACCCTGATCTCTCTGGACCAGAAGCCAAATTAAACTCTTCTATAACTTGTGTTGTCCATGGTGTTCTATCACAGCAAAAGAAAATTAGTCATGCTAATAATAATAATCTTTCCTTACTCCCTGATATTTTGAGACAGTGTCACACTATGTTGTCCAGGCTGGCCTGGGACTTCCTTCCTTGTCTCAGATTTTGGAGTTTGGGAAGACAGGTATGAATGATCACCTACCCCAATTCTTATTGTTGTCCTCTCTGAGGAATGGTATTCTGGCTGACATAAATTTTTGTTTTGATGATTGGTATAGCCTCACTTTTCTATATTCAGTATGTTTTTATTGTTAGTCCATCCTAATGATATAAAATGAGAGTCATTGAGACAACTTCCTCTATGTGTGTGACACAGTTTGATCCCTTTTGTTCTCTTTGACGCCTTTCCCCTCCTCTCCTCATCCTCTTCCTGTTCTATAACCTTCACTCTGCTACTTTTAAGTTATTTATTTTCCACATGGGCTCTTACTGTGTTCAGATCAGTGTCAATGTAAAAAACTCCAGGTAACTGGTGTATTCCTGCTTATTTAAAGAGTCATGGCCTATGTAATTAGAGTGGCTGTTTTTTCTCCCAGTTTTGAAATTCTCAGGGCAGGAACTGTGTTTCTCCTCTTGTGATTGATTGGCAGAGCCTGATACAAAATCAGTCCTTAATGAGTCATCCAGAGTGGAGAGAGACACATATTGATACCGAATAACCACTTCTGCACAGTGCTGGGGGCCCCTGGAAGGGGAAGTCTACATTGCTGCTGAGATTGGAGAGAAGTTAGTAAGACTTCAAGCTCAGTGCCAGAGACATGCTGCCTTCATTGACACATACAAGGAAGTGATCTGGCCAGGGAAAATATAGGGATGCTCATACATATGCCACCTGAGCTGATGGTGGGAAGACCTCAGGGCCGAGGTCATTGTCATGCAGATAGGGGAAAGTGCCTGCAGGAGCTGAATGAGCAGAGAGAGATCACAGAAAGAAATCACATTAAGAGAGAGGATCAGTGAATGTGGGCTATTTGAATCTTGTGAAGGATGAAGAAGATTTGAATCAGAAGAGCAGGTGGTGTCCTCACCCAGGCCTAGGAAGATATAAAAGCTCATGGTCCCTTGCATAGTCAGGTACACACAGGCAAGTAGAGAAAGATGGTCAGATCCAGCAGTTAGATGTCACTGATGACCTGTACCCTGCTGCCCTGGATCCAGCTAAGAGTGCTGCTGGTGCTGAGAACATGGGATCCACAGATACTCACAGAACTATCCTGTGCGCCTTCGAGATTTTTCTCTGCTGTCCACCTGCATTCATCTGAAGCCTCTTCATATGGTGGCAGAACTTAATGCAGAAAGTGACCACCATGAGGTCCACATCTGTCTGGACCACCATGTACTTCACTCCTGTCTGGAACACTGGGTGCCCCGAATCCACTGGGGTATGCACCCTTGTTTCTTGAAAATTGTTCATCACTTCTGCCACGAAATCTTTATCCTGCATCTCATACAGACAATGGAGTAAACCCAGAGAATATGATTGATGGTGTTGGGTTTCCTCCAGGATATACCCTCGCAGGTACAACCTTGTCTCCCAAGACAACCTACAGGCAAAGATCTTCTGCAATTTTCTCATTCCCTTTTCACTTAAAAGACCAAATAGAAAGCGCATAGTGGGTGCTTCAAACAGGTCATGACTTCCATAGCGTTTCTTCAGTGTTTGCACAATACTGTAGAATTCTGTATGACCACTTATCTTATTAAAACACAAGATGCAGGACATTGCTGCAAAGAACTCCTGGAGACACAAGTGGGTAAAGCTGTAGCATAGAGAACTGGGCTGCTTCTGAAGGATACCCATCTTTAAGAAAGTGGTAATGACATCATTATCTAACCCTTGGATCTGAAGTTCTATCTCACTAAACAGGGTCCTTCTTCTCCAGATCCCCTCTGCAGCCAGTGAGCAGAGCCTTTTGAGATGTGTCTCAAGGGCAAGACCTGGAAAAGTGAGGGAAAGGTATTTCAGAAATAGGGTTGTGGTGGTCTGTGAGGTCAGTGAGAGGTCTCTTCCCTGTTTCATCATCTGTTTCAGGCAAGTGCAGACCAACCAGGACAACCAGGGTACCACACACAGTGTTGACAGCATTGGGTTTGCTTTAACCAATCTAAAAACTGTAGAGGCTTGTTTTTTCTCTGCAAAATATTTGTAGATATATTTCTTCCGTCCAGACTTGGAGAAACCCAGGACTTCTACCAAACAAGGCTGCCTGAAAGAAGGAACGAGCTTCTTCAGATCTGTGGTCCGAGCTGTGAGCAACAAGGAAGCCCCAGGCAGGACAGATTTCCCCAGCAAACTGCCCAGCAGTGTGTGCACTTGCTGTTGTTGGCTCCAATGTAGACATAATTCGGGATTCTTCTCTTTCAAACGCCATACTGGCTCATCTATGCTATCCAGGATAAAGAGCAGCTTCTCAGGATGAGATAGGATCTGCCTGATGGGAGCTGAGGACACAGCCTGGTCTTTGGCTATGAGTTCAGCCAGACTCAGCTGCTTGTACTGGGCCAGCTCTCTGCAGTTGAAGTAGAAGACATGCTGGAAGCGATCCCTGTAGAGCTGGCCTTCCCCCCATGCTCTCCTCACCTGCCTGGCCAGTGTTGACTTCCCAATTCCAGCAGCTCCCTCTAATATAACTAATTGAGGCTCTTCCTGAGTATCTTGGTTTGGGTTAAATAAGTCTTGAATCTCAATCAGATATCTTCTCTCTTCTCCTTTAGTTTCATGCAAGCTTTTTCTGTTCAAGGTCTTCCAGCCTCCTGGGCAAGGTTTTGGTAAAAGTAATAGTTGTGTGAAATTCTGCAGGGAATCCTCCATTTTCCAGGACTCAGTGTTATACAGATTCTCTCTTCCTTCATTGTGACATATTTCTGAAAAAAATCATAAATTAGGGAAGAAAGATGGAGTTTAAGTGAACTCATTAGTGCTTGTTGTTTTTCTTTCATTCTTTACTTCCTTCCTCTCTTCTTTCTACCCTTCAACAGCTGGATGAATTTAGGCATCTGTCTAAGCTGTCCAACATACTGGCTGAGGGGGTCTCAATGCAATGAATGTGAGCTTAGAGTAGAAGAATCTACTTCAAGTCTTCACTTGTCTAATTCACACTTCAGATATTTATAGATGTCTTACTCTGTGCCAGAGCAGCTCTTTGGATTGAGAATAAAGGGTGAGTTCACAAATGCAATTCTGTCCTCATGAAGTCTACAGGATGATCAGCTAGAATCGCTGAGCTTTTCCATCTGTAATTTGAGGGCTGTAGTCATGGAGGTCTTGGAGTACTAGGGGAGATTACAGTGGAGTCACTGTCTGCTCCTGACAGATTCCATTGGTCTCCACCATTGCAGTCCCGATAACACCATTCTGTAAGTCCTGAGATTCTGGGCCTGAAGGGATGGTTTTGGGATGCCTTAGAGGTCATGTTTCAAGACATAGAGTTAGTCCCCTGTCCTCAAGCCTGGCAACCCCAGGCATATTTTTTACTGTCTTCCAGATGTCATCAGTAACAACAATACTTGTTAGTGGCTACTGTCTGGATGTCTTTAGTGTCCACTGAAACTCATGTTGAAAGTCATTTGCTAGTGTAGCAGTTTGGGGAAAATGGTCTAGCGTGGGTGTTTGATGTCATGAGGAAAGGCCTCTTATTAATTGATCAATACTTTTCTTTTAGCAATGGGCTAGCTGTTGTTGGAAAGGGTTCCCTTTTTCTCCTGAAGGAACCTGCTTGCCTGAATACTTTTTTCTTAATTAGAGCAGTTATAGTCTTTAATCTTGGACTTCCATACTCCAGAACTATAATTAAACATATAAGCTTTAAAAACACACAAAAAATCTAACCAACTAACCAACCACAGAAAAACATACTAAGAATGGTCCTATAGTTCTGTAATTCATTACTCAGAAGAGAGGAACAGAAGAACAAGAAGCTCAGGGTCAGCTTTTCCATATTCTGAGTTTGGAAACACCCTAGGCTACAATCAGTCAGTCAAACAAACAAGACTAACAAAAGTTTTCCAGTCTCTATTTCCTGTCCTGGCAATGGAAAGCAAACTAACACATTTGCTCTTGATATAACCTACTCCACCATACACCACAGCACACTTTGCTGGCTTCCTACCTGACTTACTCCCTCTTCCTTCAATCAGTGCCTCTGAGGAGTCTTCTCTCCAGTTTTGTATCTGAATACAAACCTCATCTCATCGTCTTCTTTGGAAGTAGCTCAGAATAAAACAGATGCCCCACGGACGAGAATGGAAGTTCATCCCTCAGCACCTGCCAGTTGCCAAAAGTACAACATAGCTGCCTGTACTCCCTTGGCCAAGGTGCTGGAGAAAATTTGGTGAGAGCACAGAGTACGGCATCTGTTCATAAAATTAGCCCTTAAGAGACTGGCTTCAGGGGCCAAATTGTCTCTGAAATCAGGATCTATAGATCTGCTCTCATTGTCTTCTGTAGGACAACATCTAACATCTCCCGAGTGCCGTAGGCTGCCCACTCATATCTGTGACCAAGGTCTGCCTGGCTCAGGCCATTTCTTCCCAAGGTGTCAAGAGAGGGCTCAGCTCTTCCTAAGGTGTGCTGTCCAAGGTCTTCCAGCTGGGATGTAACTATTACCATGCACACATCTAAATCCTCTTCAGATTTGTCACACTGTAGAGCACCTGGGGCAGCAAGTTAATGAGTTTGACAAAAAAGCACGTGGACTAGATTTGGATGCCAAGAACGCCTGTACATGCTGCATTTGCATTGTGGCCCCTGCTATTCCATGCTCAGAAAGTTGAGTCAGGGGATCCACAGAGCAGGGTGGTTAGCTACTTGCTTTATGGACAAGCTCTGGGAATGGATGAGACTCTGAGCCTCAATGAATGTCTGAGAGCAGCTAAGGAAGATTCCAGATATCAATTTAGAGTGCACACAAGCACACACAGTATAGCCCCTATATATGTATGTTCCAACATGCAAAGATGCACACATATATGTATGCATATCAAACATGTACACATAGAAAGATGAAAAGGCCAATAAAATTCCACAGAAAATGGACAGAAATGGAACATATTCTACTTACTGAGGTAATCATGCCCAGAGAGACAGATGCTATATTTTGCTGTCATAAGTGGATCATATGCCATATGATCATATATTATGTATATAATCCATTGATTTTGACTAGTATGTTTAATTTGTTATTTTTAAAAAAGATTTTTTAGGTTAAATTTGAGAATTTTCTCTCCATACCATATTTACATCATTTCCACCATTCTTAGTCTCCCTTCCAACTCCTCCTGTGTCCCCTCTTCCATTTCAAACATTTTCTTCTTTAATGATCATTATATCCATACATAATATATACAAACATACATATATACATGCACACACACACACACACACACACACACACACACACACACTGTGCCGAGTCTATTTAGTGTTGCTGTTACATATTTAATGTTGACCACTTGGGGCTAGATAACCTACGAGGGACTCATCTCTGGAGAAGACTGAGTCTCCCTCTCTCTGCAACCATTAATTGCCTACAGCTTTTCATCTAGAGATGGGACCATGTGAGACTTATTTGGAGTGTCTGTAGAGGTTAGGAAACTATAATGAATCCAAGTGAGGGGGAGTCTAAAAGGCCTTAAGGGGTGCAGATAGAGTGGAAGCATTGTAAAATTGTTTAAGTTAGGTTTAAGTGGTGCAAGGTTGAAGTGAGGATAGATATTGTGTGACAGGGGAGAAGATTGGGTGGCCTTGGGCAAATCACAACTAACAATGTGTGATAGATCCTATGGAAACACACCACTTTGTAAGCTAACTAAAATATAAATTAGATAAATGTAGGCTACTGAGTAATGGATGCACTGTGCTTTCCTCCAGTGACATGAGTTATTAAAGAGAAATTCCAGTGCCAAACATGGAGTACCTCCTAAGAGTTACTCATCAGGGAGAATGCAGAGACTCAAAAACAGCAAAGCCCATTGCAGTCGCACTGTCTACCAGAACTACAGTAAAGACCCTCTTGCTGAAGACACCACATATTTTTCTTCCAGGACTTAGAGACTCCAAGATGGAACAGGTATGAAACTTCTTCCATACTGGGTAACTTTCACAGACTAGCAGGTGCTATGTGGACACTGGGGAAGAAAACCATCAATGATATTACCTGATGGTGACCCTAAATTCGGCAATATTGACCTGCCAAATGAGACGAGCTCACAGTTACAATAATGACATATAAGTCATAGGGTAACCATCTGCCTTCTTATTAGATTTGAGTTATTCCTGATTATATTTGAATTTCACAGGAGTGTATTAACACCTGTAAACTTGGTCTAAAACCCAAACTCAGGAGGTTATAAGTCCTAGGGAAAGACCTATTGCTATTTGGCTACATGGGTATATTGTTAAACTGCCTTCTGAATGTTTATGCTTATACCCATAGATTAATGTTTCTCTAAACTGTAGGCATTTGGTTTTATTCAGGTCTGTGGAAGAAATAATGTCACTCAAGGGTGAATTTTGTCTTAGAAGTTGCAGGAGGGTGGGTCAGCATATGGTGTATTGACTACCATTCAAGACCTTTTTTTTTTTTTAAAAAAAAAAGTTGTTATGCAATTTACACTTTAGCAAGTCAATTTTGTCATACCAAAACCTCTTGTCTGAAGCTCCCCTAAGGAAACAGTCCAAAGCAATTCTCAGTCATATCATATCTTGGGTTTCCTAGCGCTCTAACCAAGTTTTGCAGAGACTTTGAACTCTTTAGGAAGACATCAGGCAAGATTCAAACACTTCAAACTGAAGGTAGATATTTCAGAAGATAACAGCCACAAAAGGCAGTTCAATGCCCATGTGCTAACATTCTGTAATTGAAGCCAGCTTCAATGCTATGTTGGATTTCCCTCTACATTCAATCTTGGTCAGAGAAGCTTCTCTCTGCAGTGGGCCACAATTAATGTAGAGACTCATAGTCAAAATCCTTATTAAGTGTCTGTTGTGTGCTTGGCTCTAGGTGGGATATCTATGTGGGTTCATGAAGTCTCTGGGAACATTGCAAAACATGTGACAGTAAGAATGAATGAGCCGTAGGACAGGAAAGAGTGCTGTAATATGTGTTTTTCTTGATGTTACATGACAGTTGTGCTCATACACTCACTACAGATATAGCTGCTTGTGCATGACTTGCACAACCCAACAAAGTCAGCCATTATTCTATCAGGCAGCACTAATTGGATTCAGAGGTTTTAAGAACAACAGGAAAAACCAAACAAATCAACAATGACAACATCAAAACAAAAACAGAAAGGACATGAAAATGGGAGCTAGTAGTTGGGAGGGTGTCTGGGGAAATGAGTAGAATGGATTTTGGAGTGAATATTATCAACATTACAAACATTACAAACAAATAAATAAAAGTATTCTAGACCTGTACTCCCAGCCACAGCATCCCTCCACTCTGCTCACTCCACAGCTGCTTGCCAGGGATGCTGATTTTCTGGCCCTCTCTCTCCACTGGCACTGGGGACCACAATGAACATATTAACTTATCCTGGTGTGGGAGAGAGAGGGGGGGAGAGAGAGACAGAGACAGAGACATGCAGAGAGAGGGAGAGGGAGAGAGAGAGAGAGAGAGAGAGAGAGAGAGAGAGAGAGAGAGAGAGAGAGTCAGAGTCGACTGTACTCTCTGGAGCACTGCCCTCCCAATACTGCTAGGCCTGCAGTTGCTTCCCAGGGACCATGACCTTTTCCTAGTACCTCTTCCTTCCTTTGGGACTCTCTAGATCACAGACCCTTCTCCACCTGGAACCTTATAGCCCAGTTATGTGGCACACAGCCACAGATATGTTACAGTCGCTGT